AACACCATCATCCTGGCATTGAACGATGGAATCATTTGAAATTAGCTTATTCGAATATATCTGTTGAGCACTCATCTCATTCCAAAAGATAGAGTGGAACGGTTGTGCTCATGCGTCTTTGCAGAAAATATTGCGAACTTTGGGCCGAAGCATGTGGTAAGTTCGAATAGTTATTACAATGAACCAGAGTGCGAAACTTCTGAGTTCAAAGAGTATCATCTGTTCCGTTTTCACAAAAGCCCTCCTGGATGTGATTTGGTTGATGAAGGCAAATTTACTTTGCGTTATACATTAGCTATTGCAAATTTTGAGAAGTCGGCTGAAGTTTATGGCTTATGTTCGTTATCGTAAGGATACTGTTAGTAACTGTAGTTTCAAATGTGAGTTGAATATGAAAATAATCAAAGAAAACAAGATTTATTTGCAACGTTCATAGTAATTTGAATGCTTTTGACTTTGCCCGCTTTATTACAAAGGTATAACTATTTAAGATTATTCTATACAAACAATATTTAATATCCTCGCATGTATGGTAGTTATGTTTCCAACCGAGATTCGTTCAAATTCTGAAAGCTTTTCGAAGATGAACTAACTTTACTTGATAGCTTTTTCCTGAGCAATTGCTTCTTCAATAATTTTAATCAGATCAATCCTAGCTTTATAATCTACTTGACCACCTTCTATTTCGGTGAGCTTCTGACGCGTTTGCTCAGCAATTGCTGAAAAGACAATCGATATTAGGAAATGAAACTAATTATGAATATGTATACCATCAGGTAGATTCTGTACAAGGGCTTTTAATCGATCAGCAAAATTTATATCCTCCGGTAAATATAAAGCCCTCGATAACAGTAAGAGGGATGGTGGCACATTATCATTTAGCGAGAGTTCTAGCCATTGTTTAAGCTACGACAATATAATAAAAAACAGAAGTTGCATCAGTATGTACCTGATCCCGTAGCCTGTCTTCACTCAAACCCAGGGCACGCATTCCACGAGCCCGACAAGCTTGTTGTAGATCAAGAGAGTTTAAAGCTTCCACTCCACCTTCAAAAGCAATTTCCTGGAAAATATTGTGAAACACAGACATGATCACCGACTTACTCTATCATCTGCTTTAAGCTCTCTAAGTTTCATATTTAATTGGAACCGTAAAATTTCGGGGCTCCCTAAAGGTTGGATACCCATAAGACGACATAGGGACCTAAACAGAACTCTAGCATTGAATTGAAAATCAGTGACTCACCGTAATTGGCTCATACTCAAGTTATCTAAAGTTAGTTCATCTTCGAAAAGTTTGGAGAACTTGAACAGCTCTTGATTAGAAACATAACCTCCTTCCGTGCGAGCCTAAAAAAGATGATTGATTGAGTAAATATTAAAGAACAATACTTTTTTAATAAAGCGTGCAAAGTCCAGGGCGTTCAAGTCACTATCAGCATTGGCAATAGATTTTCTTTTCAAACCTATTTCCTCAATAGTATCCTAAATTTATAAATGAAGACAGTTCACAATCAAAACTCATACCTGTAGGAACTTAGCCATCTCAACTTTAACTTTGACCTGTTTTCGAAATTTTTCTTCCTATAAAGAATATGTTTAGGAGGGCCGGCAAGCTCCTGATTACCTCTTTACTATTTTCTTGGAAGGTGCTGGGTAACATATTTGGAAATAATTTAATAAACAACGGCAAAGCTAATTCCATAAACGGGACAATAACAAAAATTGAGAACGGGACTAATCGGAAAAGATCGGAAACTGTTCGAACCTGAGCAATCAGAATAATATGTGAGAAAACAAGAAATAAGCTAACCAATTGCTGTCGTTCCTTCCGAGACAAGGTGTTACCCCGAAGAACCCTCCAAACATATTTTGCGCTTAGTTTTGTTTCAAGTGCCAACAATCGAAAGCCATGATAGTAATGCTTCAGCTCATGAATTACTTTTTCTTTGATAGTTAATTTTTTGGCGATCTCAGTAGTAGCCGTAACCTGCAAAGGATTATGCAAAGTTGGATAGATGCATAAGTATTATTACTTGTTTCACACGTTTAGCCTCCTCATGTTGCCTATGAAGATCTTCTTTGAGCATACGAAGAGTATCCTCAATCTATAAAGTGAGATGTAGGACACCTTGAAAGGTGAACCATCATCAAACCTTTCTACCATCAGTTGATGCAAAACGTACACATACACCTACATGTAAAAAATTTTGTTGGTCGCAGGCGATGGGGATTCTAGAAAACAAAAGAAATTTCTCAAGCTTAGTATTAAGAACATACCTGTACTTTGATATTAACCCTTGCGTAGCAAACCTTCCGATTTGTGAAAGTCTACTTACATACATGGGGCGCATGACTTACTGATGGCAATAAGATGAACGGGATTGCGAAAGCAATCACACTTGGATTTAAAAAAACAAAACAATGTCGCAATTACAAAATGAACAACCTGAAATCGAGAAGAAACTCAGCGATGACGACAAGAAGCTTTCGTAATAATCGAGAGTACACAGTTCACGAGGTTGATAATGTGAAATCTCTCGAAAACTTGGAAAATTTAGAGGAAAAGCAACATAGAGTATAACACATTGTAGTAACTACTTCATGCTTCTTCGTTTAACAGACAAACCTTTCATCAAAAGTATAAACAAAAACAACCATGAAGCTTTAAAAAAAAATTAAAAATATATTCTTTCTCGCGTTTCACTGAAAATGAATACGCACTACAAGCCCTTCAGCGACGTGCAGATTGTAAATAAATAGCCAGTGCAGTTAATAGTTCTTAATACTGACCATGCACTTAACAATTGATGTATGACTACTGGAAGTCCAAGTTTTCACTAGGGTTAGGTTTTCTAAACTTGATATCACAGATCTTTGAACAGATTAAAGATGGTTTTGTATGAAGTTGTTTATAACGAGCTTCAGCTCTTTTCACGTGTTGTTAGCTTCGTTTATAAACTCTTCTTATCTGAGAGTAAAACTTTTTTGAAAAGTATAACTCATGCTCACCTTTCGCACATAGGAGCATAACTGCAATATGATGAAAAATTGATTATGCGAAAGACATGTGAGAAGCTATGGAAGTAATACTAAAAAGGTTGAAATGTGGATACGTTCTATGACTGATAGGAAGTTTTGTTGACTTAAACGACGATTCATTATTTCTTTTTATTATAAAGAAGCCTTTCTCTCTTCTCAGTAATAAAGCGTGTAACCGTACATTCGTTTCTTAGTTCTTATCACGTGATGAAGAGTAACTTTTTCAAATATTTGTGTTTTCAATTTCTTCAGAACATTCAGTCGACCATGTATATAAATTACGGGTATGCAGTATTGATTGTGTAATTTGCATAAAGTGATAGCGTCCGCACGAGCGATGAAAATATTATTTACCGTCGAATACCGATCGGAGCTGGTCGTTCTCAACAACTGTCCTGCTTGCGGTATGGTGCACACTCTTCGTGAAATTAATTCTTTTTTCTCGCAACAGGCATATCGGGAGAAATCTGAAGTTTTTGAGAACGGAAGAGAGTTATATTATAACAAAGACAGAAGAGGAATACGACCTTGCCTGACTGATAATGTTGATGATCATCGTTCTTGTCTTCCTGTCACCCCTTCGAACGACTACAATCGATAGTGTCTAATACTAGAATGCATTTCTTTTTATTGAATATTATACTTTTCTTCACTATAGCTGCAAGATCATTAGGTGGGAAGACACCTTATTTATCTCTATGTTCGTGTTTTTGAAGGCTTCAACGATGACAATTTTTGGGAAAACCCTGTCGAGATCGAAGATATCCGGAATGATATGATAACAGCTAGTTGGAACATTCCTTCTGAATTTTCGAATCAAACGACTTGGCAGCGTTTGATGATAAACGTTGTCCGAAGTGGGGTATGAAATCGGTACTTAGTAATCCAGTTGTTCAGGCTCTCTTCCTTCGTCAAGAGCTTCTGTTTCCATTAAAGTGAACGAAAATCTCAGAACGTATACATTTACTGATTTAATGGGCAACACTACGTATAGAGTCTCTGTTGAAGCTTTTGACGTTTGTCTTGATTTACTTGTAGAAAAACCGGTATTTTTCTAGGATGCTGGCAGCATATGGTATGCAAGTAACATGGCCACAACAAGTTTAGCATGTTAGTAATAGACGAATAGTAAAAAAAATTGTAAAATTACTGAAAGGATCAATTCTTCAGCGCTGAATTGGATGCCAGCTCCTTCGGAAATTACCTTGATAGGAAAAACAAGTACATCTCTTAGTATTTGGTGGGTCGCTCCTGATTCTCACGATGTTAGCCGAAATGTAGTCATCAATCAGCATTTGGTACGGATGTGTCGCACAATATCATTCATATTTGTATATAGCTCAATGTTTATGAATTCAACACTGCTTCAAAAACTGTCAGCAAGAAGTTCTCGTTTAATATTCCCATTCCAAAAACATCATTTCTGGTCAATAAGCTGAATCCAGGAACTGTCTACAATTTGACTATTCAGGTAATATTTAATACGAAGTTTTTGAGCTTTTTTTGTTGAGGCTGGGACCAGTTATGGGTATGGGAATACTGTTTGGTCTACCTTCTCTACTTTGGGCTCTGATCACGAAGAAATTGTTCTCAAATTGGCTCAAAGAACTCCGAATTCGTTGACTCTTACATGGCCAACGAAATGGTTACCAACACCTACATCCCGATTCACAGTACATAATTAGTTGTGTCTTCTGTATACATTACACATCATCAGATCAAAGCAAAAACAATTCACACGCCTGGAAATGTTGAAAAAGAAGTAATGGTGGCAGGAGTAGGTGAGCCCGGACGACCTAATGAATTTGCTCTGAGGAATCTTTATCCTGGCTCGACTTATAACGTCACTATAACGACTAACATTCCCGAAGTTTTTTCAAACTGATTTGATGATTTGATTATCATTCTATTTAGAGCTCTAAGAAAGAAAATAAATGGGTTGGAGGCCCAAAACGAAAAGCATCTTGGTCAGTCTTCTCTACTCTTACCCAAGGAGAGTATGCTGTTGGAGATCCTCGCATAGTAGTTGAAACAGATACCGCTATATCTGTAGTATTTCAACCTTTGAGACAGTTGGGCGACGTTCATTACCAGGTTTTACAAATACTTGAATCCATAATGAGGTCTTCAGATACGTTATTCATCTCCTGAAAGTTCACAACCGATTGAAACATTGGCTTTACGTGAGAATGAATTACTGTTCGTTTCTTTTCTGATTTTCCTAACTTTCTTGCATTGTTTAGTTGTCCCAAGTTTGGTTGTGAGTGGTTATGTGCTCTTATTTTCAACTTCCAAGGAAGGCAGAGAGATTTTACATTCGAAGTTTGACTTCCTGATTTTGTTCATCCTACTATTAAACTGTTTCCAAGGTTCGCGCGAGAGTTGATGGCGTTTGGAACAAATGGGTTTCTATTGTAAGGAGGTAAGACAATACAGATAAGAAATATAAATCCATTTAGACCATGGAACTTGTTGGAGAGAGTTTGCTCAATCAACCCTCCCAACTCTTTCGTAGCAAATATCGGAAAACCTGATTATCAAAGAGAAATTGATGTTTCCAGTGCTAAAGCTCCAGCTATAGCAGACACATGGTTCGTAGTTTGAATGAGTAACTTTCACCTAACGCTCATTTTCCAGGCGTTATTTAGTAGTTGTGGACAGTCGGCAATCGGACTATTCATCAATAGACATAGCAAAACTTGCTGACAAAGCTACAGCTGATATAGACAATATACCTTATTATGTTGCTGGCTCTATCTCTCCTGATGATGTCGAAAACAATATACCATTCAGGTGAGGTTAAATTCAGTTTCATGCAAGATTGCCACACAGAAGGTTGCATTCTATTCGTTACCAAGATCATTCCAATGTTCTCTCTTAACAGGTTGGGTGACGGCCTAGTTCATGGAGGATATCTAAATTATCCTCTGCGTGACAGAGAGGTTGATCCCAGATGGACGCTTGTTCCTTTATCTCAAGCAGAGAATGAGATAATGGAGCCTCGTTTGAAAACGTGTGGCTTTGCTGAGGATGGTAAACGCCAACTAGTACAATAGAGCAACGTATCTTCATTTAGGTAGCTTCGATTGCCAAATGTCTTTTTTCGATTTGGCCAAACACATACCGCTTTGGGCTACGACACTTTTGAGCATTTTGAGCATAGTGTTGGTGTTTACATTCTGTATCTCGCTGATAGTGTTTGGTAGACGCATGTGTGGTTTGTAATGTTTCATAACATTTGATTATTTTTTTGATTTCAGAGAAAAAAAACGAAATGAAAGAAGCTTCTATTATGTACTACCACAATGATTCGCCAAATACTAGTTCAACTACAAGGGAGTACCGTCGAGTAGAACGAAGAGAATTTAAACCTTCCGATTTCGAAGAGAGGAGGAAGTTTATGAATGATGAATGAAGCCAAACTTAGAGTAGCCTTTAAAAGTCAATTGGTCCCACTCAGGTTGTAAATGTCGGATGCTCTGACTGTTTTAGTGAATTTCATGAAAAATACTACTTGGACAAATAATGAATGTGTTTATGACAAAGTTGAAACGATGACATGAAATGTGAACACATCAGGACGTGGCGTACAATCACAATCGGTTTAACATCCAATTACATTATATGGCCAATCACAAACTCTGTATATAGGGTTGAATACCGTTCCTGGTCCACATGTCTTCAACCAAGCTCTGTCAGCTGTATCACAGTGACAGAATTCAGGACTGCAAATGCCAGTAAATCCTGCTTCTCCCAACCTGCCTAACTTCCTACAGAATTCAGGGGAACACGTAACAACGTTATCTGAGGTCCCAACGACATAAACATTTTCCGAGACTTTCTCGTTGGTTGATCCTATGTTTTCAGCGGCTCTTTTAACATCTGAACTGGATCCTTGAACTGTTACAATTTTTGTTTCCGGATCTTCTTTTTTCCAATCACGGATTACTACGGCGAGGTCCTTGCCCGTGTTAACGAGTTCATTTGTAGTTGTTATAATATTGGTTTTTCTTCCTTTGAGTGAGTTGCGGACTCTCCTCAACTTTTCTTTGAAGCCTGCTCGTCGTTTATGCAATCGTTGCGTGTTAGGTTCTGGAGAAAAGTCATCATCGATAGCGAAGCCTCCAGTAATAAGGAAGATATAAAAGAGAACCAAGTATGGAGACATTTCCTATGTAGCAGCCTGTAAGAAAAACTATGAAAAAAAAGCTGGAAGTAAGCAGATCTATAAGAAGACACTGATTGTGATTGAATGTACTGCCGAGTTAGAAACATGTGAATGCGATACAAACGAATAGAGAATTTTTGTTGGGTATCACAGCTCCCTTAAATACTCTTCTGGCATTAGGAAAACAACTGTTCCAATCTATTCCTAGAACCAAAGTTGTTCCTCCTACAAATACGCTAAGCTAAAAGCAATAAACATTGTCATCAATCAAATTCGCATACTCCCATATATAAACAGTACTCAGGGACAATCTGTTTCATAATTATTCAAATTACAAGTCATCATTTGACTTCAGTGATTTTACGCTATGGAGTAGATTCAGATTAGGTTAGGTTAGGAAGAACGCTAATGCTTAAGAAATATTATGTAACTGTTGCAGGATCATCGTTCGAAGCTTTTTAAGCATTTCCATGACATATTAGGGAGGGCACGCAAATGGGAGTACTGTTTCTGTTGATTTGTTTAACCTGTTCTGAAGCTCAAAGCTTCAGTTCACCGAGTGTAATCTGTAGAAATTACAATACACATGACTGCAGGTTGAAGTTTCCCCTTGCACGTTCGGAGCTATTGCGGCTTTTCAGATATTTTGATCATTTGATACTTAAACTCATGACTATAAACTCCTGTTTTAAATCTTGGGATTTCCCGGAACAACTGACACAAACACAACACTTGCTCGTAAGACTGTAGTAATTGTGTTTAAGCAATTGTTACTGAACGGCCAAACGAAGTTAAAAATAAACTTTCCAATATGCTCAGTGTTACAGCATTCTTGAGCATTTCCTATCTGTGTACAAAACAGTTGCTTATTTTGTAACCAATGCGATCATGTGGTTATTTCGATATAAAACTTTCTGTGAAAACAAGGAAATGAAAAACCTATGTACGAGACAGCAAGAAAAGAGAGTATAGATGACTGTTGGCGATATAGAGATTTTGGACCTTCTGAACTTTTTTGTTTTTCAATTGTGATTGGTTGAATGATACCTCTCCCATACCGTAGGACGAAGAGAGCTGAATACGGTAAGACATGCAACTAATTATGTTTCTGTCAGTTTTTATTTTTCATTATCTCCTATGAGCTTTTAGATGACTGAAAGACTTTTGAACTTGATGAAGTGAGGAAAGAACTGGTTGAATCAAAGTGACAGCTTTGGGGAAAAATACTTTTTTATCGGTACGCGCTTCTTCATTCTCTCATTGTTCCACTACAATCGTTGTCATTTTAGAGAATGTGGAACTGTCTAGCAATGAAACCTAAGACGAAGAATATGTTTCCGATCAGGAATAGAGGGGTGTAGGCGTTAAGTTCATCCTGTAAAGGAAATGTTTGTGTAGTTTTATTTAAAAGGAGCCACATTTTCTGTCTGGCTGATCAATGAATGAAGCTCTAAGCGAACTAAGTGGACTGACCAAGAAGAAATGTTTTAAGAGCCTTTAAGAGATAATGTATTGTGTTCAAGTTGAGGTATCCTTTTTTCAGCATTCTGACTCGCAGTTCGTTTTTTTCAAGCTTTCAGTTTCATCTTTCGAGTAGGTGTTCGTGATGTGTTGTTGAAACGTATTAACATCATTGAAACAAGCTGAACATTATCAATTCATAATGTTATATACAGATTATGAAAATTGTAATTCTGATTCTCATCACTATGCTTCACTATTCCTACAATAGCTTGCTTGCACTAACATGCTCTTTCTCGCATTTTGACAATTTGTTGACATGTGCTTCAGAATGATCTTGCTCTGCTATTTCGCACAAAGAATGAAGAAAGTTCTATCTTGTTATTACAGGCTTTTCTTGTCTGACCACATAGTTTATTTGAACTCTCAGTCTCTATGCTCTAACGATTATTTTTGTTTTCAATAGTCTGCCTTTTAGAATTATTTTTAAAACATTTCAACATGTTGTTCTTCTCATAACTCTAAGTATATTGAAATATATTCTGTTTTTGCTCTAACGGCCATCATTTGTTTTCTGCTAATTTCATTCCTCCATCATCGCACCTACAAAAACCTGACCAGACTTTTCGGTCAATATTGGTGCCTTTGGGTCAACATAAAGCTAGATCAACCCCAAAAGAAGTTGTTTCCAACCCTATCCAAGCTAACACAACAAAAACATCTTGGAAGAACGTCCCAGTTTATCAAATCACATCTGAATAGTGCTCATATCTTTTAACCTCTCATATTGTTTTTGTCTCATCAAGTGAGCACTGCACTCCGTCGTAATATTTCTATCTTTACAGATATGTGGCTTATTCTCACATTCATCCCTGCAATCATTTGTCAAAGGTTTAATGTACCTTCACCACCTTCACTCAATCTCAATCAGGTATACTGTAGTTTGAATAAGTAACAGACCTTCTGATATGATTTTAGGAAGGGTTGCGTACAGTTCTCCCGTCTGCATCTTCAGGCTCATTCAAACAATCGATTCAGGAAAGTATTCATAGGTTCGATGAAAGGGTCAGTGTTTCTTATAAAGATTGATGAACTATATTCTATCGTAGAAGTCGCAAGAAGAGCTACGGAGACAACAAGCCCCTCTACAAGCCGTGATCCCTCCGTTTCAAGTCGTTCAACCCCCAGATTTTAGCGTTGTTAGCGCTACTCTAGAGCCAGACTACGTAAGTTACTCAAATCTTGACTACTTTTACTTTGAATTGTTAAGGAGGATGAAGCTGAGTTATATGAGATACCGGAACCAAGTGGTCCAGGTCTCTTACCTGTACTACCAGTAACACCGGAACCAGAGAAACCAAAAAATGCATATGAAATAAATTTCTGTGATAGAGTATGACTACTGAAAAAATTCTTTTGCATACTTTTCAAAATCTTCAGAGAGAGTTCCCTGATGATGTTCTTGCTACTTATGGATTAGAAAGAATTGATTACTTCATCTGGAACACAACCTGTTCTCATATTTTTTTCCAGGTGTCAATATAGACTAGCACATTAGTATTCTTAACTCTTAATTACTTCTAGTGTTCTATCGGGCACACATTCCTACTTCAATGTACATCTGAAGATCAAGCGTTCGACAAAGCCACAACGAACTGTAATTTCAAAAATTCTGTTAAAATTTGTCCACAGTACGATCATGTGACTCATTGCAGTAAGTTGAATGAAATATAATTCATTTCAAGGCGTCTTCAACTTTCTTTTCAGCCATTAAAGAAACTTGTAAAGACCTTGAATACGCTTGCTGCTCTCTACCACAGCAATGTTTGCCATTGAGCAAGCGTTGCGATGGTCATGCGGATTGCTCTGACGGAGATGATGAAAACAACTGTCGTAAGTTATCTTGAAGCTCTGAACAAACTTCATACAACGATAACATATTAGCTTCTTGTGCTCGAGATGAATATGCTTGTGTTCATAGTGGACGCTGTATTCCAGCTGAATATCGTTGTGATGGAAACCATGATGATTGTGGAGATGGTACCAACATGGATGAGATAGGATGCAGCAAGAATTCCAGTATCTTTTCTAAAATGATAACATGTTATAAGCAAAATGCTTCAGCATGTATTGGAAAGTTCATGTGCAACGAATCAAAAGTGGGATTGACATGCGTTGATTGGTTAAATCATTGTGATGGAAACAAAGACTGCTATAACGGAGAGGATGAAAAAAATTGTCGTACGTCATGCATTGGAAGAGAAAAATAGAAAAATTTTCGAAATTTTAGGGCAAGTCGGAGAAACTAAATATTTGTTGTGTGAAAATCAGAAACAATCGGTCAAGAAACAACAATGGTGCGACGGAACTCCCCATTGTGCAGATGGATCAGATGAGAAGTATTGCTATTAAAAACTGTATTATATTTAAATTATTTATAAAAATTTATTTATTAACTCAATAGCGCTACCTCATAACTCAAAATGAACATCCGAAAAGAATATTTGAATGCGAGATTCATTCTCGTTCTCAGTTACTAGATTAGCGGTCGTTCAGACATCAAAAAACATTGAACGTCGTCAGAACTGGCACACCGATGACCAGATAACTACAAAAAAAAGATTTATCTAGATTAATAAAAATTGAGAAAATCTAATCTGAAAAAGAATTATACTCCTCTATGAATGTTCTTGTGAATGAATTTTTTCATAATTTATAAATAAACTCAAACAAATAACTTTTATCACAAAGAATGTCTGAACTGTGTCCTGCATGGTTACGTAGTCTATACCCACGATTGAAATGAGTTTATTCAGAATATATCATTGTTGAAATTTTTTTTTCCGAAATTAGCATCAAGTGAGCAGCTCAGTTCCAGGAAATGCAACTTCGATCGAGTGAGACTGACAGTTTTTTTTAAGACCAAAGGCGCATAAGGAGAAATATCATGGAACCTAAAGCCCATAGTCGAAAATTTTCACAAAATGAAAAGTAGTTGCCTATTTCTCATGTTGAAAGTTATATCGAAGATCATCTACTAATAAAATAACTGAATGACTGGTGAGAATGGTCTTGAACAGAACATTTCTAAACATGTGTTTTCTCTCAAGTTAATATCAGTTTAATCAAGTTAAACACTTGAATTGAGAAATTAAAGACGAAGGATAAGGATATGCCCGATACGGCTACTGGATAGCTCTACAGGTTCTGCACTAAAATTGGTTTCCTGATGCGGTTTGCCGAATTGGCGCAGTAATTCAGATTATTCTAGATAATGTAGAGATTTAATGAGATGAAAGTTTTCGTCAATAGTAAAATCGGTGTTTTTGTCGTTCAGAAACCTGCAGTTCTACTTGACCGGTGCTTCCGTTCGTTGAGCTGAGCTACTAACTCGATGAAACTTCCAAGAAAGAACTCCGACATAGCATGCCTGTTACTCATTCTAGCTGTGATAACGGCAGGAATTCATTACTTCTTCTACTACAAGCTCGATGAACACATGGACGATGTTATGGAATATACTCTAACTGTCAGGCGCAACATCGAGAATGCGGCACAAAACCCAGGTAGTTTTCTTCATTATAAACCTTCAGCCTTCTTCTCACAGATCAGACAGACAACGGTCTGCAGCTATTCAAGATCATAACAGAAACATACAAACTTGCCATTACCTATAAACTTGTTCATTGTGAAATTCCAAAAGTTATGTCAACTGTCATGATGAATGTAATTTGCTTCCTGTACAACGATAACATATTTAAAGCTAGCGGATCAAGAATTCAAAGTTCTTGGTGGTCGACCAGGTTTCTCTTAACAGTTTCATTAACTTTATCAAATTCTATTCAAAGGCCGTGTGAGAATAGAAATGAATATTATTATTACAAGGATATGGTGAAACATCTACCTCATGGTTATAAGATGACGATCCTAATACGAGAGCCATTCAGTCGATTCATGAGTGCCTTCATGAACAAATGCGTAATGTAAGTGTATCTCTAGAAGTATAGTAATCATTCAACTTTATTTGAGGGAACCGATCCAACATTTGAATGGACAATGTGATGAATGCATACAGGGACCCTGTTTCGGTTGTGATTTGAAGAGTTCTGAGTATATGGATTGCGTGTTAACTAGACTGACGGAGAACTTGATTAAAATGAACGAAACCCTAGATTACAAACGACCTTTTCATTATGAGCTGTCTCATATGGCTCCATATACTTGGTGAGTATCTGAAGAAATTCAGAACAGATCAAAACTGTCGGATAACCATACGATTATAAACACAACCGCTCTTCATACTGCAATTACTATAAATGGGTTTCTATCACTATCGGCAGAAAACCAATGTTATTCGTTATGTTATCTCAAATCATTCCAAACGAATTACAGGTTTTGTAACTTGAAGACTACTTATAACAGTACAATATTCCTTCGATACTATCCTTCGGGCTCGAAGAAAACGAGAATGATAGATCAGTTGGTGTCTGTGTTCGCCAATGAAAATGTACCGAAGGAACAATTGGAGGCCATAAAAGCGTCATTGAGCAGTAAGTTATCAGAAAAGCTCGATTGAACATTCCTTACTTTTCAGCTCAAGAGAAAACATGGCATTCAACATCGAACTCAAATGAGAAGGACAGCTATGTGAATCTCATCAAAACCAATTCAACACTATTCACGAAGCTTC